TTGATACGACCGCCTCTTTCGCGCGATCTTGCCTCCTCCGGTTCGCGAGAGTGCTGATTCTCTTATATAAATAACAAGTTGCACGATGCTTACTGAGTCCTCGATTGTCTGTTGTCCCTTTCCAAGAGCACCCCGGCACACAACAAGACACCATCAGGATAAAGAAGAAAACTTGAAGGCGAGTGACCCAAAGAGTTTTCAAAAAGAGCATTGTACTTTCGAGCTGGACTCAGGCGTCCTTGCAACGATGACTGACATGAACTTGATGAAGACAACGCTTGAAACCTTCGCTGCTAATAAGTAAATACTACGGAAGTAATGGTGAGTTGCGTTCTGTCCTAAATTGGGTCGAAAATGATGGTAATTTCATAGCCGCATGTTCATTAAACGATAAACGATCTTTTATTGGCTGACTACGCTACTGATGTAACTACAGAAACGCTTGGTTTAATTGTTATCGTGCTATCATAGGAGTGCTACGTTAGACACGCGAGGCATCATACATACTCAATACGCTATTGCACGGAACAAACGGCATCCCAATATTGGGGATGCCAGAAGACCATTGCCCGATGTGATACGCGGGAGCAGACGCTCCCACAGGACCAGACGGCCTTGAATCACAATGGTAACATACGCTGGAACCAAAGTGCCATTTCCCGGATGTGATATGCGGGAGCAGACGCTCCCACAGGGCCAGATGGCCTTGAATCACAATATAACACAAGCCGGAGCCAAAGTCCCATTTCCCGGATGTGATATGCGGGAGCAAACGCTCCCGCAGGGCCAGACGGCCTTGAATCAAAATGGTAACATACGCTGGAACCAAAGTGCCATTTCCCGGATGTGACATGCGGGAGCAGACGCTCCCACAGGGCCAGATGGCCTTGAATCACAATATAACACAAGCTGGAGCCAAAGTGCCATTTCCCGGATGTGATATGCGGGAGCAGACGCTCCCACAGGGCCAGATGGCCTTGAATCACAATATAACACAAGCTGGAGCCAAAGTGCAATTTCCCGGATGTGATATGCGGGAGCAGACGCTCCCACAGGGCCAGATGGCCTTGAATCACAATATAACACAAGCCGGAGCCAAAGTCCCATTTCCCAGATGTGATTTGCGGGAGCAAACGCTCCCGCAGGGCCAGACAGCCTTGAATCACAATGGTAACATACGCTGGAACCAAAGTCCCGTTGCATAGGCTAGTGAGATGCGTGAGCAGAAGCTTCCGCAGGGCCAGATGGCCTCAATCTCATCACTGCTAATGTAGGCGGGGGAGATTCAGTATGCCGGATGGGATTCGCTATGGAATTAAGATGATGATCGAAGATCAAGAATGAGAGACTTCTTTGTCCGTGTTGTCGTCATTGTTTGGGACTCCGCTTCATTATGTCAGCGGTGCAAACTCGCAAATATCCGAGTCACGACAGATTATGTAAGAGCTAGTTCGGTAACCCAAGGTAAAGTAAATTTGCCAACTTCAAGGATGATGTAAGGCCGGCACAGTAGGTGCCGATAGCTGAGTTTCAACCTTATGATATCAATATTAGTAGGACTTGTTATCCATCGCGCTCATTGCTTTAGGGATAGATTATGGATACCATTGACCCCTTGCTCCAACAACTCGCTCAAGCCCAGGCTGTTCAGCCGCCAGCTGCAGGCCGTCGGCAGAATCATATGCGAATCCTACGTCACATTGCACTACTCGTCAGTGTCCTTCTGACTGCTACGCACTCATTGCTTCAGGACTCTGTACCTGAGGCATACCACACATCGGCCCTCTCAGGTGAAGAATGGGTCATGGAACTCATCACTGGTCACCCGGATCGTATGCGATGCGAACTTGGCATGCATGCAGATGTCTTTCACGCGCTCATAGCCGAACTTCGTGTTTTGGGTTATGCTAGCTCACGCCACGTTTCGCTCGAAGAGCAACTTGCCATCTTTCTATATACGTGCGTTACAGGGCTAACGATCCGTCATGTCGGGGAGCGTTTTCAACGGTCAAACGACACCATCTCAAAGTAAGTTTGTTTTTAATGTTATTTATGATGAGCTCACAAATAATTCCAGGTATTTCCGGAAGATCTTGTTTATCTTTGCGTCCCCCCCGTTCTACACAACATACGTATGTTCTCCCAACGACACCGATGACATCTCCAGCAACATCCGTAACAATCCAAAATTCTGGCCTTACTTCAAGGACGCTATCGGTGCGATCGACGGCAGCCACATCCATGCTCGCCCCTCATCATCTGATCGCCCCTCGTATCGTAATCGCAAAGGTTTTATTTCTCAAAACTGTCTATTCGCCTGCACCTTCAACCTCAAATTCTCCTACGCTCTCACTGGCTGGGAGGGATCCGCCACAGACGCACGCCTCTATGACGAGGCTCGTTCAGGCAGTTTGTATATCCCTCCCGGCAAATATTTCTTAGCGGATGCGGGATTCCCTTTGTGTGACGAGCTCTTAGTCCCCTACCGCAGTGTCCGTTATCATTTGGCTGAATGGGGACGTGCTAATCTTAGGTATGTTTTATTTATTTTATATTTTAGGTTTTTTAATAACTATTCTATGTTTGCAGACCAACAACCAAAGAAGAGCTCTTCAATCTGCGACACTCATCCGCTCGAAATGTGATTGAGCGGATCTTTGGCGTGTTAAAACGCCGTTTTCGTATTCTGTTGCTCTCACCTGAATATCCTATGACCATCCAGGCACGTATACCTGCTGCGCTATGCGCGATTCACAATTTCATATCGACTCACAACCCTGACGACAACGTGCTCCCGGACGACGACAATGAACACTTCGATTACGACAACCCGGAGCACCAAGGGATCCCCGATGATGAGGAGGAGTTTGACGGAGCGGGAGGCATGAAGGAAGTGCGCAATCGTATTGCGCGCTGCATGTGGGAAGATTATCAGACTGTTTTGCAGCAGCGGGGCCTGCTAGATGACTCCTTTGAAGATTCTGACAATGATATGTAGCACTGTAGCACGACTCTCATGTATCCGCCGCCATCAAAGCACAAGATGTTTGCATTACCATGCTTCAACTACTGCATTATCATCATATGTTGTGTCAATAGCGCATTTTACATGAGTATACTAACTACCAGGCGCAGGAAGTTGAAGTCCCAACCGCTGGGCTGTGGAAAGAATAAAAGCACGGCGCATCTCCTTGTCAGCAGTCTGTGTGTATATGTCAGTAGCTGCAGGGTCCATAGAAAAAACCTGTTGTATTATAAGCCGCTCTGCGAACGGCAACTCTGCATCCTCAACCTGCAACATCTGCATGGCCCTCGAGCGCTGGTCCATTACCCGATCCTCAGGATAGACCATGCGCTCAGCAATTACATCTGTCAAGCGATTGACAGAGCTCTGGAATCCCATCACGGCTACAGCTGTGGTGGCCTTCGATATCTTGGTGTCCAACGTGTTAGTGTTCTTGGTGGAACCGCCCTGAGTCTGTGCATGGCCTCCTGATCCACGGCCTGATGCGCGGCCTGATACTGTCTTCGCTCTTTTGATAGAGCTCGACTCGGAGGGAGGCGGCATTTGCATTTGAGAAACTGAGGTAGATGCAGATGAGGCGGTCAGCTCCATGTCGGTGTGAGAACGTTTGCCAGGAGGAGGCATGAAGGACGGAGAAGCAGGAGGAGGCATGAAGGACGGAGAAGTAGGAGGAGGCATGAAGGATGGAGAAGCAGGTGTAGAAGTGAGGGCAGCTGCTGCAGGGGCGGTGCTAGGACCAGCAACACCAGCACTAGATGTGGCAATAATGGGACCAATCATGGTATTGTGTTCACCTGCGGGTACGCTAGGACTGGAGCTTGAGCTTAAGGGAGGGGGGAGAGCTATATTGGGTTGGTACCCTGTGCGCCCTCGGGCGCCACTGCCTCGTGGTATTATGCCGTCCATTTGCTCGTAGTGTCTCCATCCCGATGCACGAAAAGGGCGCATGACTGAATTTCCCTATTATCAAACAGTGAGACGCATGAAATAGCATTAGTGAACTTGACGTACCTTCTTGGAAACATATTCATTCCATACTGAGGTTGAAGCCTCACCCTCGACATTTGCCCCTCTAATATTGTCCCAGTGGACACCAGACTGCTGGCGATACTTCTGAATAGCATTGAAAGTCTGCTTTAACTACACAATCTATTATCAAGTCTATAAATAAATTATATATTGATAGGACTTACTGACGCCCATTTTGTCTTACACATTGCCCCACTCTTCGCTGGACCATGCTCCAGGTACTCAGCAATAGCCTCTGCAGCGCCATTGTACGTCACATCTTTGAAGTTGCCAGCATCACCGATCTTGTCCCGATTGTTGGATAGGTAGAGGAGAAACTGATCAACCTCTGTGTCGGTCCAAACAGCCCTCTCTGTAGTAGTATGAGATGACTCCTGAGCCATGGAGAGGATGTGGACTTGAGCTGATAACACTATCGATATGACACTAGCCCAGATGTTGTTCCGATTGCATAGATCTTGAGTCGTATGCTGGGGTGTGTGATAGCTAGACATGGGATCAAAGGAAGTTCAAGCTCCGATGTCGGTCTCCAAACCGGAAGCTACTGTGCCGACCTTACATCATCCTTGAAGTTGGCAAATTTACTTTACCTTGGGTTACCGAACTAGCTCTAAGTCTGTTTAACCGCCAGTATCTGAGTTACATCAGTAGCGTAGTCAGCCAATTAAAACTCGTTTATCGTTTATCATAATAATACCAATAATATCATCATGATCCTGACGAGTTGCCTCCACCCGCTTTTTGAGCGGTATTTTCATTTCTATCGCATTCATCAAGTGTAGAGGTTGGTGATTTAATTCTTGCGGTCAAATCGTTGAACGTTTAGATTTTCGTATTGGCAAGCAGCCCCTAGACTATTAATATCACCTCACCACCGACATAATCTCCCTTCCTTTTCGCCGCGGAATATCTTCGAACGTATACTGAACTTAATACACTTTCATTGCGAAAAAGTCGACATACACCCTGCTTCCGACGACTTCCGTGGCGCATAGTGTCTTATACCTCTTTCACCGATATCATTATCCTTTCGAAGTCTTCCATCGGGCAATATTTTCGTTGTGGTCTTCTCTCTTGGGCTGTTGGCTCCCACATTTCTACGGCATTGCCTGTCTAATAGACTTGCCGCTCTGCACTTGTCTTGCTTGTCATATCATCTGGTCTATTTCGGTCATGGTCACCCGCACAGGACACATTCGCGGCTTGCCCCAGATGTGTTACATCTGGGTCACCACTCAGTACTCAGTGGCGACATTCATACCTCGCTCTCTGGCGGTTCATTCTCTATCTATTTCTTTTCACCCCTCAATGTGTCACTACCACGGCTCCATCATTATCATGCTTTCGCAACATCGCATCGGCATTTCTTATTATCTCGGTTGCCCGACAGCACTCGGGCTTGTATAAAAGGCGGCACAAGGCGCAAACTATCCACTCTATAAACGACAAAAATTTCATCAAGCCCACACATTTCTCGGACTATCACGTCGCATCATAACTCTTCACTTCTTTTCCCGAATGTGCTATAGCCACTTTACATTCTCGTAGCATCCGTGCTTCTTTATGTCTTTTACTTTTCTTCTCTGTTCATGATGCGACACGATTTTCCCAGTGTATCATCTGTCTGGGCGTGCGTTGCTTATCCCTGAGTATCCTGACTCTTGACTAAGTCCTGATTACAGTTCTATCATACGTTTTCACCCATCATTGGTAGAACTGGTAATCGATATCAAGATCTTATTGTCGTATTGAGTCCGTTATTCAGTGCGCGACATGTTAGTTCCAACGTAAGAGTCGTTGATCAAATTAATGTACACTGTGACTCGGAGTCGTACGATCATACGAAAGGGAGTGATCAACTACTAGTAGTAGTACTGATACGGCATATCTGCATCAGCCTCGTGCGAGTGAGAGATTTATACTTGTCCCAATGTGCCAACAAGTGTGGGACAAGGGAGTTCTTCTGCAGATGCTCTAGCAGTTTATCGTAAAGTTTACTATATACTTCACCCCCAAATTCGATATTGATGAACCGTCCGGTCGCGAGCTCCTGCAAGGCGCAGTAAACAGCAACAGCAGCTGCACAGAATATACTGTCGAGATTGTTGAGGTACTTGTAGAGCTCGAGTTCCGCGACAGCGTCTAAAACGACATGCCACACTACCTCATTTTCGAGGAAGTATGAGTTGCCAAGCTCATCCACACCGAATGTAAATTTCGGTGGGAAAGTCAATTCGCTAAGAAGTTCCACGATCCTGGCTATCAGGAAATCGAGCTCGTTGACCGTCGACCGCACTCCAGGACGTAGATGAAACAATGCTATCTTGTTGCGTGCAATCTTTTTGCACGTGCA